TTGAGGAAGGCCTGCAATGCTATAATTTTCCCTCTTTGGACTGCCTTTGCAGTATCCCAAAAGTTCTGGTAATTCATGTCTTCATTATCATTTTGTTCCAAAAATTTGGCAATTTCCTTCTTAATCTCATTTATGACTCAGCTATCATTCAGCATGAGGTTGTTTAGCTTCCATGTTTCTGTATGAGTATACAGATTTCTGTTGTTACTGAGTTCAACTTTTATCCCATGATGGTCTTAGAAGATGCGACGAATAATTTCTATTCTTTTAAATTTGGTGAGGTTAGACTTGTGACCTAAGATGGGATCAATTTTGGAGGATGTTCCGTGGGCTGATGAGAAGAATGTGTATTCAGTTTTGTTACAATGGAATGTAACATAGATGTCGTTACAGCCAATGTAGATGTTGTTAAAGCCAATTGTTGAATGGTTAAGTTTACATCTAAAATTTCTTTGCTTAGTTCCTTATTGGAGGATCTATCCAAAACTGCCAAAGGGGTCTTAAAATCTCCAACTATTATGGTGATGAAAGAAATCAAGTTGCTCATGTCTGTTACAGTCTCTCTTATAAATTGAGGCACATTCCAGTTGGGTGCATTAATGTTAATAATTGAATTCTCATCATGTTGAGTGTTACCCTTAACAAGTATGAAGTGACCATCCTTATCTTTCCTTACTTTTGTTGATTTAAAGCCTTCTGTATCTGTGAATAAAATTGCAATACCTGCTTTTTTCTGATTGCCATTTGCCTGAATTATAGATGACCGTCCTTTCACCCTGAGTCTATAAGGTAAGATGAGATTCTTGTATACACCAGATATCTGGCTTGAGTTTTTGTATCCAGTCTGACAACCTGTGCCTCTTTAGAGGACAATTTAAGCCATTTACATTAATTGAGAGTATTGAGAAGCCTGGTAGTATTTTGGGTATCAAGTTTTTCAACAGTCCAGTGGACATTTTTAATCCTTTCACCACTGTGGAAGTTGGAATTTGATCAAAAGTTTCTGTGTGAGTTTACTTTAGTGCTAGAGCATTGTGCTTATAGTTGTGGAGGATGGGTCTGGAGAGCTGGTTTAGTTATGGCAAATTTCTTCAACATGTGAATGTCATTAAAGTATTTAATTTCTCCATCATAAATGAAACTCAGTTTAGCTGGATACATGATCCTGGGTTGAAAGTTATTTTGTTTTAGGAGGTTAAAGGTAGATGACCATCCTCTTCTAGCTTGAAAGGTTTCAGCAGAGAGATCTGTAGTCATTCTAATATTCTTCTCCTTGTAGGTTATGGTTTTCTTATGTCTGGCTGCTTGCAGAATTTTTTCCTCCATATTAACTTTGGTGAAGTTAATTATGTGTCTGGGGGATGCTTTATTTGGATTGAGTCATGCTGGGATTCTGAAACTGTCTGCTATCTGAATTTCAGAATCTTTTGCCATGTTTTGGGAAGTTCTCCTCAATTATCTCTTGGAGCAGAGCATCTGGTCCTTTCAAAGCAACCTCATTGCCTTCAGGAATTCCTATAAGGTGAATATTAGTTTTTGTGGAATTATCCCACAGCTTTCTGAGGCAATCATCCATTTTTGCTCTCCTCTTCTCTTCCTCTTTGAGAGTTTGGGAGAATTCAAAAGCTAGCTTTGTCTTCAATGTCAGAAATCCTTTCTTATCCTTACTCCATTCTGTTGCTGAGGGATTATACTGTATTTCTCTTATCTTGAGGGCTGCAACTTCTTTTCTCAATGTGTCAAAATCTTTTATTTTGTCTTTGAATTCATCGAATTCTTGAGACAACTTGTGAATTATTCCTAGAATTTCTAATTCCAACTTTACTTCCATTCTGTTAATCTTATTTGCCATCCAAATTCTAAATTTGATTTCTGACATCTCAGCCATTTGTTTATGAATGGGATCTTCTGGTGTGTCCACCTTGTCATTCCTTGGGGGAGTTGATCTACTCTAATTATTCATGTTGCCAGAGTTTTCCTGCTGATTCCACCCGATAACTATTTTTCAACATTTGGGTAGATGAGCAGGTAAGGTGAAAGTGGAATGGGGGGCTTCTGAAGTAGTGATTAACCACCCTTTGCCCAAGACCTGGGACTGGTGACTGCAACTTTTCCCATATAGTTTTGCAAAGGACCTGTACAGTACTACAGCCTGAGACACTGGGGACTTGCTCAATGTGGTGGGGCTAGGTGGTTCTGTCTTGTATTCAGCTGGTCTCTGGCCAGTCCTAGTGAATCAGTAACTCTGGGTTGAAGTCTCAGCTTTGGACAAATACAAACAACTAAGACACTCTGCCTCCCCATGGGCAACAGCTGGAAAAGGAAAATCAAACCTTCCCACAACACCACAATCAGGATACCATCTGGGATGGTCCTTGGGTGATTGGCCCAGGCCAAGAGTTCCAAATCAATTTTCCCAGTCAGCAGCACCAAGTCTCAAGTGGGAGAATTCAAAAGTTCTCCAGCAACTAGATAGCAGGGATCTGTTGGCAGTTTGAGTGTGGCTCACTCCAGTGCTCCATGGAGTCAGAAAAGCCCACCCAGCAAATGAGTTAGACCAGGGAGGTTGATGCCTCTTTCCTCACCTTGCACCTCTGTCACACCCAGTCACTGATAACCCCACAAGGCTGTGGCCCAGTTCCCTCCAATGAGCAGATGTGCCAGGATTTTGCACCTGCCTGAGTCACAGGGAGATCGATGTCTCCTTAGCTAGGCTGCTGCACTCTGCCACCAGCCAGCAGGGGGAGCTGAAGCCCGACAACCTTGGGTGCTTAATGGAAGCTAGGGAATGCCACTCAGTTCCAGCCTCATCCCATATTCATATTGCTGCCACTTATATTCTCCCAGAATTTGCATTCTGTCCTAGCTGTATTCTACTATGGGCCAGGCATTGTTTGAGTTCACAGAAACTGTGATGCAGCCCTGCCCTGTGCTGCCGCTGCTGGGCCAATTCTCACAGAGTTGGCATCTCTGTCTCCACTGCACTCTGTGTTGGGGTAGGCACAGTTAGAGCTCACAAAGAGCTCTCAGTTCCTGCCCCTCCCTGAGCTGATGCTGCTGCCACAGCTGCTTTTGTCCCAGCTATTCTATACTGGGGGCTGGGTGCATCTTGGGCTTACAAAAGTAGCAATTCTGACTCAGCCCAAGGAATAGATTCTGATGCAGGGGATTTACATGTACTTCTTAAGAACTGATTACTGATGTCCAGGCAGTCCCTGGGTTACAAAGGAGATGGATTCTATAGATTTACACTTAAGCTGAATTTGCATGTAAGTTGGGATCGGTACATTACCTATTACCTGTAAGAGTGTCTGTAAGTTTGAGTTGGATGTCAGTCAGATGTATTTAACTTGGGGACTGCCTGTAGACTTAAGGGGATGAAATAATAGTCCTGCACATCACTCTTAGACAAATCAGTCCTTCATATATGGGAAATATCCCAGAGATGGCATAAATGTAAATTCCCAATCCATAGATAAATTTTTCAGAAAGATTGATCTCCCTCTTTTTCTCTGTAAATTTTCTTAGGACATATTTCTACTAAAGCAATATACTGGGTGCAATCAAACTGGTCAGAGGAAGCCTAGGATTTGAGTCCCTTGAGATAGGCATCTTCCTCACATCTTCCAGTACAATGGGACCCAGGTTGGAGTGGCCTCTGGATGTTCATTACACAGGGTCCTTGAGCCCCCTTTAAACTGGTGGTCTGGGAGCAGGCCAAGATTGGGTGGGTCTGTGGGGGAAGTGACCAAGTTGAGCAAAGTGACAGAGGGTATAGAGGTGGCAATTATCAACTGACAGAAAAGCCTTTCTGTCCTCTCATTACAGTGTGGCTGTGCTGCACACAGCAGCTGATCCCCAGGTCTCACTGAGATGTGCTGCATAGTTTTCGTGTTTGCAGCTCAAAGTCAGGGACAGGCCTAGGGCTCTGTACCCTCCTGCAGCCCCTGGGTCAATCCTGGTGGGGCAGGGCTGCAGCTGAGCAGGGAACCCTGCAGGATCCACCCTTTTGGACTCCTGGGCCAGAGTGCCCTTTCCTGCCAGCAGGTCACCTCAGGGCAAGGACAATCTGTTTAATCTCATCCAGCAGATCTAACAAATGGTGTTTATTGTTAAGACAATGAGCAAATGGACTGTAGTCTCTTAGCTGCTTCTTAGTGATTTTCTTGAGTCAGGCCAGATGTGGGGCTGCAACTCTGACACTTTCCTTCCGCCTCTGCCCCGGCATCATCATACTTGCTCCTTACTGTGTCCTGTCCTTCCCCAGACAAAATGTGAAAATAGCTGTGTGCCCTTTTCACTTGAGCAGGGTTTATAACTGGGGCACTAGACTCACAATAAATCAGGGCCTCTGCGTAGGTGACTTGCTGCCTACCAGTGTCTTATGCTTGAATAGGTCCTAAGGAAAAATAGTCCCCTTCATTTTGTGACCTCTGGCTTTGAGTCCTAAGAGGGAATCAGAAGTCTCTCTTGGAAGTGAAATAAATGTGAATTTAGGAGAATGAATAGAAACCAGAGAGCCCAAAGAACAGCCTGCTTCATCTCTATGACAACTATCATTTGTGTGTCTACTGAGTCCAGGTCTGAGCTGGGCTCCAGGGTAGCATGGGGAGGAGACAGACACACCCCAGGGCCAGCTGCAGTCCTGCGGGGGCATTACACATTCAGTAATCACACAGTTGTTTAGTGACAATAGTGATGACTGCTCTGAAAGACAGCCAGACATCACGAGCAGAGTGGGAGGCAGGGCAGGGCAGGGCTGGTCAGCCAAAGCCTCCCTTGGGAAGGAGGCTACAGGCTCATCACTGCTTGGCTGCAGAGCTCAGCATCTTCTGTGAACTGCCAGGGCCTTTCAGCTGACTCCAGGAAACATGAACCTAGATTAATTTAGATTTTATGCTATTATCTTTTTTGTCATTCCTCTGCCAACTTAAGTCCTTTATTTTTTTAAACTAACTTAAGTACTTTTTAAAAGACAACAAATAAGCCACTATAAATACCTGTAAATCTCTCTGATGTTCCTCTTTCAAATGCTGAATTTCAATTTTGTGTCTGTTATTTGCTTCCTCAAGTGCTTTCTCCACTGCTTCTTTCCTGAGTTCATTAGCCTTGGAAAGGAAGAGTCCTATTAATGCATCAGGACAAGCACCTCATCTTATCTGAGGTGTTCATGAATCAGGTTTTCAAGTTTCACTGAAAATTAGTGGTTGCCATGGGCCCCAAATGTCTCACTTCATTCCCAGCTCTAACCTCCCACAGGAAACTGGCACTATAGCCAGGGTCATCCAGGCTCAACCCCACCCTCAGCTGACATTGCTGGTGATGGGGCAGTTTCTCTGTGTAGAGGCTCTGGGCAGTCTTTTTCTCTTTTGGCACTCTATTCTTGTGTGGCTTACCAGCACGGTAAAATATGTGCATTGTAGCAGATCTGGAAAATACAGAGAAGTGAGCAGTTGCACACTTCTGAGCAGTAGTGAGCAGAGCTAGTGGAGGTGAGGACTACCCAGAGCCTCTGCATCAGGTCTGTAGACCATTCTGAAGACCTTCACTTGAAGAGAATACACAGTACACAGGACACACTCACATTCAAACAGAAGACTATTCACAAAAACACCACCTTGTATTAGTATGCATAACTGATGTTCACAATCAGTTTGAATTTTATTACTTCTAAACGTAGGTGACTACTAAAATTTTGAGATATACAGTATTTCCCTCTGCAGTTGAGTATTTTATACATTCATAGTATTTCCATATCAAGCTTTTCCTGGCCCCAAATTCTAATCCTATTTGCTGTAATGTCTACTTAATAGAGAAACTTAGACTAAGTTATTCTAAACACTGTAGCTGGTCCTGCCTGCAAGGAGCTTTAAATCTCTCTAGGAAGCCATTTATGTCATTCCATCTATGACTGAAGAAGTGGGAACTGTGACATGGAAGCTTTGCTTCAGTTTGGTATCTCAGATCCCACTGCAAGCCCTAGTATTCAAACTGCCCCTGTGGCCCTCAGCAGTGCCATGGATAAGGCATTGAGGTCTCTGAAGGGAGGGGAGGAGAAGGGAAGTAGGCCACTTCAAATTTAGCATTTTAAAAGTGAGCCCTTCATCCAGGTCATTACGCACTGCACAAATGGGGGGTCTATATGTTAAAGATTAGGCCGTAATAAATAATTACCATCAAGGATGTCTTCTTAGTTTTCTTTTTAGTTTTGGTTTTAGTCAAATGAGAATAAAGGGAGCAGGAGACACCCATACAGAGAGGTGATTCAGAAGGAGGAAACTCCTAATGATTCTGTCTAGGTGGCTCTGTGAGCCAGGCATATTCTTCCAGGGAACCCTCTCCACAATGCTGCAGGAAGGCTATTATTCCTCTTTGATAGACAAGAAGCCAGGACCCTGTGCCCCAGGTCCCACAGCTAACCAGGATCCAAAGTCAGTTCTGCTGATTTTGCAGTTTGCTACACTGTGTGATTGATTCAGACAAATCCAGAATGTGAAAGAACCACAAGGATGTTTTTAGACAGATTTCTAACTTCTTTTACCTGAGCCCATACTTCAGCTTCTGCTTTTGCAATACGTTCTTTGAATACAGCCTCTTGATATTGTTCTTCTTTATTCAGAATATTTGCCCCAATATCTGTATATTTGAAGAGAAATGATCACAAATCTCCACAGACTCTCTCTCTAGTTATTTATGAGGGCTGCCCAAATATGTCCTTTAGGAGCTGTCAACCCTTTCTTTAAAGATAGCCAGTGAAGGATGAGTGTTTCCCTAAGCGACAGGGAAGGAACCCAGCACTGTTGGATGGATGGAGCAGGTCATCCCCTAGTTGCACTGCCCACACAGTAGTTGGGGCAGGTAAGTGAAACAGAAGCCACACAGAGGGGCATATTTTGTACTCTAAAAGTAGAGTGGTGAGTGAATGTTCAGAAGATATTCACACATACACAGCTCTCTTGCCCTGTTATCTGGGCACTGGGTTACTTTCATCAGCAGAGAGAAAGCCATGCCCTCTTTACACATGACGTACCTTTCTTCAGTGTGTGGGTCTGCACAGGTTTAACTGCTTTAGCTGTGGAGTGGGCTAAGTGGCAGTAGCCAATGATCTAATTTGATTTCCAAATAATAATATTCCCAAATAGATAGCCATATGCAGAAGAATGAGAATAGACCATAGACCTTTATTTCATACCATATACAAAAATCAAATCAAATTAGATGCAACTTAAATCTAAGACCTGAAACTATGGAACTACTAAAAGAAAAACATTGGGGAAATGCTTCTGGACTGGTCTGGGCATGGACTTGTGAGTGATAACCCTCACAGCACAGGCAACCAAAGCAAAATTGGACAAATGGGTCCACATCGAGCTAACAGGCTTCTGGATGGCAAAGGAAACAGCCAACAAAATAAATAGAAAACCCACACAATGGGAGAAAATATTTGTGAACTACTCATCTGACAAGGGACTAATAACTAGAACATAAAAGGAACTTCAACAACGCAATAGGAAACGATCAAATAATACAATTAAAATGGGCAAAGGATCTGAATAGACATTTCTCAAAAGAAAACATACAAATGGACAATGGGTCTATGAAAAAATGTTCAACATCATTAGTCATCAGAGAAATGCAAATCAAAACTACAATGAGATATTATCTCACCTCAGTTAAAATGGCTTTTATCAAAAAGACAGCCAATAACAAACATTGGTGAGGATATGGAGAAAGCAGAGCCCTCATATGATATTGATGGGAATGTGTATTGGTATAACCACTATGGAGAGCAGCATGGAGGTTCCTCAAAAAACTAAAAATAGAACTATCATATGACACAGCAATCCACTGCTGGGTATATATCCAAAGGAGGGAATCAGTATATCAAAAAGATGCCTGCACTTCCATGCCTACTGCAGCACTATTCATAACAGCGAAAATTTGGAGTCAACCTAAGTGTCTATCAATAGATGGATGGATAAAGAAATTGTGGCATATATACAACAGAATATTATATAACCATAAAAAATGAAATCCTGCCATTTGTAGCAATATGGATGGAACCAAAGAAAATCATGTTCTGTACAATAAACCCAGCACAGAAAGACAATATATGTGGCAGCTAAATATTAAAAATAATTGAGCTCATGGAGACAGTAGAATGACAGTTACCAGAGGCTGAAGAGGGCAGCAGGAGAAGGCAATAAAGTGAGGATGGGTAATGGGAGCAAAAATGTAGTTAGATAGGATGAACAACATTTGATAGCACAATAAAATAAGCAACAGAAAGTTAGGGTATACTTTAAAATAACTAAGAGCAGCTCAGTGCCTGTAGTTCAGTGGCTAGGGCACCAGCCACACCAGAGCCAGCAGGTTTGAACCCAGTCCAGGGCCTGCCAAACAACAATGACAATTACAACAACAAAAAAAAACTGGGCATTGTGGCTGACATCTGTAGTCCCAGTTAATTGAGAGGCTGAGACTACAAGAGAATCCCTTAAGGCCAAGAATTTGAGATTGCTATGAGCTGTGATGCCATGGTACTCTACCGAGGGCAACGTAGTGAGACTCTGTCTCAAAAAACAAACAAACAAACAAATAAATAAAATAACTAAGAGGGATGTTTCTAACCTCCCAAAATGATAAATACCTGAGGTGGATACCCCAATTACCCTGATATGATTAATTCACCTGGCATGTCTATATAAACAACTATCATGTACCCATAACAATTAAACTTTTTTTAATCATATAAAAATTAAAAGTTAGCCTTTGAGAGCCTCCATTTCTTCATCTGTAAAAGGGGATACTAGCCCAACAGTGGCTCACACCCGTAATCCTAACACTCTGGGAGGCTGAGGCAGTGGATCCCTTGAGCTCAGGAGTTCAATACCAGCTTGAGCAAGAGCAAGACCTTGTCTCTACTAAAAACAGAAAAACTAGCTGAGTGTCAAGCCAGGCACCTGTAGTCCCAGCTACTCAGGAGGCTGGGGCA